TGTTATGGTTCTGGAGCTGCTTTCCCATAAGATGGCATTACCTCTGTACTTTAACCCTGCTCTGTTTTAAGTGAGCTCACACTTCTCAAGTACCCTACCAGAAAGAGAGAGAGAGAGAGAGAGAGAGAGAGAGAGAGAAAGAGAGGGAGAGAGAGAAGCAGACAGAGAGGGGGTGAAGGGAGTGAGAAAGAAAAAGGAGAGAGAAAAAAAGAGAGAGAGAGAGAGACAGACAGACAGAGAGAGAGAGAGAGAGAGAGAAACTCTTCAGAAATGAAAGAGGGATTGGGTGGATAGAGTTAGAAGTGTTGGAGAAAACGTGTCTTAGACCTCCTGGATTTTGAGACTTTCCCAGTAACTTGATTCATTTCAAGCCCTGAAACACGATAATCCTTAAGAGACAAGACTTCAGAACGGTGATGCATCATTTCAGTGAGTCATTCTCTATGAAATAAACCATGCAAATCACTGCCAAAGCTGCAGACCCTCGCAGATCTAGATTTTCCAGAGCGTAAAGCAACAACAATCCATTTTTTTATGGACGAAGATGTATTGCTGGACTATCCAACTGGCACATGACTGCCACGAACTGACATAGGCTTAGCACAGCCACGCTAACAGGACACAGCTGCTGCTAGCAGCAAAGGACGGCTTCAGTGGAGGCAATGAACACCATACGTTTCTATACTGTCTCTCTGTTTCTGCTTCAGCTCAGTTACAGCTCAGACAGGAAGATTCTGATTTTGCCCAAAGAGCTAAATGTCTTTACTATCCATTGGCTCAAATCCATGCAGTGGTTAAGAGGATCATCCCTGTATGTTCGTTTGCCTGTTCAGATTCAACTTCGTTCTTAAGCTATAGACCACATAATGGAATGCGAAATCACGGCCGTGATTTGGTTACAGTACAACAGCATAGCCATGTTACTTGCAATAAGACGCAATGTTTCAGTGTTGTATTGCTGTTTTTCTATAACGTTGTTATAGGGCTACATGATGGAAATCACATTTTTTATAGTGTATTTACTCAATGTTTATAGTATATTTGCAAAATTTTTACTCAGTAAAACTTACATGTACAACAGCAGCTCTTTAATAACTATAAACATCACTTACAAATATATAAACGAATTTATACATACATTCCTTTATGAAGTATCATATAAATATTACTGTTTATTTTGAATTAAACAGACAAAAATATAAAATGTAGCCTGTGCAAAAGTTATGGCACATTTCATATTTTATGTTTTATTGTTTCCCGATATGTTACACTCAGCAAATAAATAAAACTTGTGCACTAAAATTTGCAGAAAATTTAGGTCTTCTACAAGGAAAAACATTTTTCTGCAAATTGTAGTGCACAAGTTTTATTTATTTGCTGAGTTTGTAAGTTTGTAAACTTCAATCAATCAGTTTGTGTAACCAAAACCGTTGTATAATTTCCAATAAGCACTGAAAAAATGGTGCTCTATATTTATATAAATCAGATGTATCAGTCAGTTGCACATGAATGAAATATGCTACATCAACACAACTGCTGTCTTTCATTTCACTTTGTTTGGCAAGAATTGTGCTGATGTAACATTCATTTGAATCTTTCAAACCACCATTTTTTTTCAGTGTCTCTACCCAGTCAAACATAGCACCCAATCTGTCTTTTCCAATCTCTTCTAATTGACATGCATTTGGATTCCACTCAGACATCAAAATCCCTAGAGGGACTACAGAGTTTAGACAAATCGGTGACTTATTCATGCTTGACCTGGAAGTATTCAACACTTAAATGTGGACCTGATTATGATGCGGATTTCCAGAACTGCCAAACCCTCAGCGAAGGATGGTTTGGATATGGAGTCTGTGTACGACCTCCACAAACTCCATACCCAAACCAGTGTTTCAGCAAGTCATAGGATTCATCTCTTATGACAAATCTACACTATTTTCTTATGGCTCAGCCCTCATGCCCTCAGCGTAGGGCCCAGACAACAGCAAAGACATGTCTAAGCAGGATTATTGGGAGAAAATCCACCAATGTTCGGGATGAAGTTAGTCTTTTCGTCTTTCCGGAGCCGTGGACAAGTCTGGGGTTGAGGATGCTCAAAGCTGTGTATTTTCAGGCAGGGAGTGGATTTGTCCTTAAGTCATCTCATCCTGAGTGGAACGCTGCCACTAAGCCAAAAAGCTGTACACTGCAGGCATGGATCAAAGAGTCTGGGCAGGGCCAGATCTGGTTTGATGGCCATAATGCATGCTGGAGTAAAAGATTCATCAGACAGCCTTGTCTCACAAGTATGAACATGCTTTGATTTGTAGCAGTTTGTGAGATGAGGAGTGAAACTTGGCCAACACTAAAAGTTTGGGAGATGTTCTGAGTGGAAATGCACTCTTAGAGGTCTGTGTGTGGGAGTGCGTGTATAAGTTAGGGAGGGACTCCAGCACACTGGTTAAGCTTAGCTGTGGGATGAAAACCTACCAGCCCCCTTGCAGGACGGCCTGCTGGGGCATCATGCTGAGTCAGCGCTGGCACTGAGGCCAGCAGCCCCACCCTGAGCTTTAGCCTCCAACCCCCGCACTGTTTCCTCTCCTCTGACATGTTCCTACCACATGCCCTATTCTGACTTACTTGTGAAAGTTTGAGAACCGATATTTGGTTAAACACTAAATCTGTAAAGGATCAATATTGTACTATAACAAGTATGACAATATAACCTCGTTACAGTTCCAATGTAGTTCTTATTCAGAATACACAGATATAGTAAACTGGTGCTTAACGTTAATAGCACAACGGAACATTTAGCAGCATACAGGAGTGCATTTGAAAACATTTTTCATTATTCCAAAATGGGAGGGGGAAATATTTTTGCCACTATGGGTTAAACTGGTTTTACCAATACGTTTCTTAATCTGTTTGTTGCAACATAAATATATGACTGTGAAAGCTCACATCTATTGAAAATAAATGTGGCCATTTTAAACAATTGCAATCTGGTGATTATGTAATAATTGTGAGAGGCCGAAAAAATTGGAAAAGAAGAGCTGTGTGCATTTGTTGGCTTGGGGTGGAGGGGATGGGTGAGTAGTATGTGCCTGTAGCAGACATACATTAGTTCACTAATCTTTCTCAGGTCATCAGTGATTCCAAAATGCTTCTCTCCTCATGCACGCTTTTACTGCACGCTCTATTCTGATTTATTTTGATGTTGGAGCATTTGTGAAAGTTTGTGAAAAGATATTTGGTTAACTTCTAAAAAAACAGAAAAACACTTATATTGTGTAATTAAAAAGTATAACATAACCTAATTTTACTCAGAACATCCAGACACAGTAAACTGGTGCAGAACATTATTAAGGCAAGAAACATTTAGCAGCATGCGTTTTTGTGTCAGACAAGGGACTTAAATAATGGAGACAGAGCTAATCCTAGAGATAACCCATGCAATGTTAAATGTTGAAGGTTTTTTTTATGCCATGTTAGTTTGTTGAAGCTAACTTTTTCCCTATTTTAGCCCCAAACTTCATTGTGGCTGTGTTGGTTGGCTCTAATCTGCAGATTTTGGGGCAGTCGACAGTTGGGAGAGTAAATGAAGTAGCATGCGAGGGGCACAGACTCAGATTTAATCTGTACCAACTGCGTTTCAGTCCAGCTGGAGTATATCAAATATTTGTATGATTTTTTTGACCCAGACTTAATCTAGCAGTATATACTGGTAAATGACTCACAACAGACTCTAAACAGCCTCCTCCAACAATAAAAAGTGAGCGCACAAAAGAAACACAGCATGTAAATGAAGAAAAATTGTGGAAAGACATTCAAATGTGTAGCGAAGCCTATTAATAAACTGAGTTTAAGGCATGAGCACAATCATGTGCAAGCATCAAAAACTCAACAACGTTAATCATATCTTTACATCCGTGACCTTCACTTAAATACGTTTACCTTCTGCTTCTATACAGTATCAGTGCAAATGGTGGCGAAAACAGTAGCAGCAGCAAGCTGTTCCACATTTGTTTTCATTTGTTTGTCTCCTAGTAAAGGGAGAATGCGTGTGCTCATATGAGTTCACACGTTTGGTTCAGTTCAGCAAGAACGTTTATTTCTATATTAGATATCAAAGACATCTGTTGTTTTTTTGGTTCAATTTGTTGAACTATTAAAGTACAAACCTAAAGTGGCCAAATTTAGTTATTACACTTCCTAATAATCAATAATTAGTAGCTCCCAACTGGCAACAGACACAGCTCGAGATCAAATAGACAAACATTGCTCACTGCTGCATTTTAAAGAGATTATTAACAAACATCAATAAGCAAACAGGCTGTCTGCTGTTTTCAGAAGACCCATAATGTATCTCAATAAATGAGTTTCCTGCTTCCGTCAATTTACATGCACTGCACCCAATTCAAATTTTGCTTGTTGCGAAGTAAACATATGACTGTGAAAGCTAACAACTGTGCAAATTATCAGCTTAAATAACTGTGATCAGGCGATTCTACAATTGTGACAGGCCTAATCATTGGTCTGTAATGTAACAAAGACTTGATTTCTGTATTCAAATACTGGCACCAGGAATGGTCAACCAAATGTTTGAAAAAGTAGGAAAGTAACACATTTAGGTTTTATCAAATGTGAGACGACGGAAAGAGTAGAAAAAATGTAAAATGTAAACTTCAAAAATTACCATATAAAACACTCCAGAAGGCAAAAATACTGTGGCTTCACTGAAATGACTAGAAACATAATAGATACGGTACGTAAAGGCACAGTGATATCATTATCACTGTGATATTACAGCCCGGGAACTTCTGAGTGGGTGCGTTATGTATGTGTGTTGCTGACATTAACTCCAGTAGGTTAATTTGACCCAGTTTCTTTTCAGGCTCTCACAGACATTCTCAGCTGGACACAGAGACACTCTCAGCTGTGTCAGTATGTGTGTGCGTGTGTGTGTGGGTGTGTGTGTGTGTGCTTGTGTATAACTGTACGCACACATGTGTATCTACCTTCTTCTTCCAGGCATTCTCAGAGTCCTGCAGCTGGCTGAAACGGTCTGCCAGGGACACTTGGACCACTTCGTTGGCCTTGGTCTTTTTCAGCTTATTCCTCCAGTCATCTTCATTGCCTGTCAGCTCAGCCAACCTGCAAAGAGAGAGAGAGAGAAAGAGAGAGAGAGAGAGAGAGAGAGAGAGAGAGAGAGAGAGAGAGAGTGACAGAGAGAGACAGAAAGAGTGTAAACATTCCAGGTCTGTTTGGATATCAGGTACCCATGTGTTTATAATACTTTGCAAAAGTCTTAGGCCAGCCAAAACAGATTTGAATACTAACTTCACTTAAATACTTCATTAAACTTAGGTACCTTTGGTGAAAATTTGTTTAATAATGTTATTACATGCAAAACACACTGTCCAGATAAATTGTTTAAACTATTTATCTGGGCAGTGTATTTTAAACCAGAGCTAAATTTGAAATAAGAGGTGCAAGAAACAGGTACTCACTGTAAATTACTACAAACTAATCAAGAAGCACTGATATTAATGACATGCATATAGCTGTAATTTCGACAGCCAGTCTAGATTTTGGAGAAACAAGCTTACTAAGTACTGAAATATGGTACTGAATGATGTCATTTTTCAATACTCAGTAGTATTGAAGTATTTTGGTCAGTACTGTAAAGTACTGAATTTTGATACCCAGCCCCAATGTTAACTAGAAATACTAGCCTTCCTCGAGGACAGGGGTGGAAATGTTTACGCAACCAAACTAACATATCTAATGTGATTATTTATTGGTTTAAAGCTTATTTGTATTTATTCTTACATTAGCATTTTTCCATGCACATAAACGCTCAGATAAACATCTTTAAATATCATTTTCTCTGAAGGCCCAAGAATTTTGTGCAGATCAACATTCCTGCACTGAAATGCTATAAGGTGGTTTGCACATCAGCATCACACCTCTCTTTGAGTGAAGAGCTCATGCTGCCGTCCAGGCTGCTGTCCAGCTCCTCGCTATCCTCAGACACACACACAGACGGGGTCTTCTCCACGCTGTCTGAGGACGGGGAAGGTGGCAGGTCACTGGAGCTGCTCTCCTCTCTCTGAATCATTCTCCCTCCCCCATCCACCATGTCTTCATCCTGCTTCTCCAACTCCTCTCCTGTGTCCTCCAGCTTCTCCTCCCGTTCATCCATGATGGTTGTCTCCTTAGTGACAGGCGTTCCATTTCTCTCTGGTGTTGGTTCTGCGAGTTCGGCCTCCAGGCTGGTGGAGCGGCTCTTCTTCAGGATGCCCCTGAGGCTGCGCTGGCCCGAGTCCTGCCTCTGCAGGGCCACAGCGGGAGGCTTCGGTTCTTCTTCCATCTTGACAGCTCCTGAGCCTGAGTGGGGTTCCTGGAGAATGAGGAATGAAGCAGAAAAGAGAAGAACTTCACTAGCAGTGTTCGCAATCCTGGACTTCCTCAGAAGCAACATGATTAATCAGTGTAGGGATATAAAAATGCACTGTGATACTTTGATCTGAAGGTGGCAATTCAACGGCATCACTTGGGAATGTTAGAATCAAGTAGGAGACAGTAGGGCACAGCCTAGCACATTTTTGTTTTTGCTAAATATTATTTTAATTATCTGAGCAATCTTGATAACTTCTAAAAACCTACAAAAAGACAACCTACAAAGCTCTGCTACTAATGAAAATGTAAACTTTGTCTTCAGCACCTACCATATGTGGACAACTTAGCCAAAATTGGGTGGGGTTGATTGTAACAGACAGAGAGGCTAATTGTAACAGTTAAAATCTGGCAAATTGATAATTTAATACAGGGATTTTCACTCAAAAGAGACCCTGAATATTCTGTAATAACTTTCTCTAGGACAAAGCAATCTGAACGAAACAATGTGCAATGTGCTTCTCAATATATGGAGTTTTGAACAAGCCGGGATGGCCCTGCGGCGGAGCGATGAGGTAGGCACCGGACAGCCAACGCAACGTTTAACCTTCATTTGCAACTTCCGGGTGCAGACCCCCGTACCCCCCTTCATGTGTCTGTCAGAAAACAGAGGTAACTTCCAGCATCGCATGTAATGCAATCGATTACACATACGTCAAGGTATGTAGCGTATTCTTTTGTTCAGATTGCTTCATCCTTACGGGAGTTACAACAGAATATCGCGTGGGCCTCTTTTGAGTGAATCTCCCTGTATAATTCTATGTTGTTTGAAACAACCCCCCGCGACCCAGAGGGATAAGCGGTTTAGATGATGTGTGTGTTGTTTGAAACAGATGAGATTTCCAACCATGAAAATACATGCATTAAAATTAATACGATTAGTGAAAAGAGGCTGTGTTAAACGTGGCAAATTATATGACACCAAAGTGAACTGCGAGTCTCTTGCTGCTAAGCAGTGGACAGCTAACAAAATGAAACTCATCAGACTCTCTCAACTCTCAACAAGAACTATACACATAGCAGCCCTGTACATTTAAAAACAAAAACCTTGATGTTTTAAATCGACAAACTACAGTTTGGGTTACATTTCATGCAATAACTTGCTGTGGGGGAGCTTTTAGAGGCATTAAGCGCTTCAGACGTCTGGTTCCTATCACCACCACTGTGAACAATTCAGACTCTGTCAGTTCCTCTGGAACGAAGAATTTCACACCAGAGCACACTAAATGATTTTGTTTACATCTCAACACAGAACATCACACAGAAATGTTGGAAAATGGAGAGTGTGAGTATTGCAGTCTTGGTCATTGCCTTAATTATTTAAGGTGACTTAAGTCATTTTCCATCGTTAGATTTCACAGACATATTATCCTGAAATAAAAAAAAAAAAACAGGTTTAGGAATTTGGTGTGTTTGGTTGAGGCAAATAAATGTAAATAAAAGGAAGCAGTAAATGCATACACTGAGACTAATTCTAATGTTTTTAGCAAGTATGCTGGCAAAACGAGTGTTTTTTGCTTATTTTTTACTTATTTTGTAGCTTTATTTAACTCTACAAATAATTATTTGTAACTGTAGACATTTGTTTGAGTGTGTATTAATTCGTCAGTACAGCCAGTGTTAGATAGTAAGTAAACATAGCTAGCAAGTAAGTTGGCTAATCAACCTATTCAGGTCTAAAACTAAGGTCTGCATTATTGTAATTATTTATAAGACAATTCATGGTCAGGTAAAAATTTCATGATCGTGACGGCCCTAGCCATTGTCTTGGGATGACAAACTTTTGATACATCAACAGAAAATGAATCAAACTGGCTAATATCAGGCAATATGGACTGAGTGGCCTAACTGGTTTGCTTAGCTAGGAGGCCATTCTTGTGAATACAGTTTGAAGGGTATGCACCTTAACAGACAAAACTGATATGTAATACCGAGGCGAGGTCAGGGGACGTCGGCAATACTGACCTCTGGGCCAGTTTTAAAGACGTCCTTCTAATCTGCATTCCTCAGGACTACTGCTTTCTGCTTGTTTTCAGTTTGTTTTGCCTGTATAAGCCTCATTGCACATCCACTATCTCTATTAGCTCTGTACAATGTAAGCCTAGCTGAAAAGATCCTGTGATCTTGTCATAAAAGTTCCAGCAAGACAAAGAACAAACCCACCAGTTCACTCCTCCCTACAAGGCAAAAGAGCATGTTATCCTTCAGAAGCACAGCCCCCCCTACGACAACCTTTCATTTCCTCCCTTCCATGGCCTCCAAATTCTCCATCCTGCCCTCTGCACTGGCCAGAGAGAGAAAGAGGAAAAGAGCCAAGCTAGCTAAGCCGGTGGTCTGCTTTATCAGCAGCACCAGCATGCACACGCTCTGAGTAGAGAGAAGAATGTAGGGGTACTGTGACCCATGGAGAGAGGCAGTGAAAGATAGAAACAGAGTGAGAGGGAGGTGGGAAGATGATTGGTCTGGTGGTCTGTTTTGTTGCAGAAACAGGCCAACTCTCCTTATGGGATTCAAGCCCATTGTAAGCCAGTGCTGATGAGAGAGAGTTACAATAAGATATGCCCCTCCATCAACCTCAGTTCATGTAGCACTGACTCACATGAAAAGGACGCTACCATGGAAAATACATAACACATTGGTTAGAGTGATAGTTCAGCAACAAAAAGGTAGTTTACACAAATGTCTTGCCTCCAAAGCTGACTGGAGCTATGAAGCTATATGTATATATACTATATGGACAAAAGTATGTGAAAAACCTGAAAAACAGCCCCAGACCATTATCCTTCTTCCACCAAACTTTACTATTGGCACTATGCATTCCCGTATGAAATGTTCTCCTGGCATTCACCAAACCCAGATTCATCCATTGGACTGCCAGACAGAGAAGTGTTATTCATCGCTCCCGAGAACACATTTTCACTGCTCCACAACACAGAGGCAGTGAGCTTTTACACCACTCCAGCTGACACTTGACATCGCACATAATGATTGTGGGCTTGTGTGCAGCTGCTCAGCCACAGAAACCCTTTTCGTGCATCTCCAGGCGCACAGTTCTTGTGCTGATGTTGCTTCCAAAGGCCATTTCAAACTCTATTGTGAGTGATGCAACAGAGGATGGGTGATTTTCACACACTGTTGTTGATCCTAGACGCTTCCATTTCACAATAATAGCACTTACACTTGACTGGGGCAGGTCTAGCAGGGCACAGATTTCACAAACTGACTTGCGGCGAAGGTGACACCCATGACAGTGCCATGTTTAAAATCACAAAGCTCTTCAGTATGACCCATGTACTGCCAATGTTTGTCTGTGGTGGGGTGTAAGCTTCCATTACTTGTGAGCTACATTAGCTTCACAGCTCTAGTGCAAAACTAAAGAAACAAACTTCAGACACTAAACACATCTTGACTGATCAACTACATCCAGGGTGAATGAAAATTTAGCAGTTTAATTTTCTGGACACTTTATCATCAAGTTGTCTTAGCAGTTATGAGCCTTCTCTCGCAGTACTGCTGATCTACAGCAGGTTTATGCTAAAGACCACAGCACCAGAGGTCTCTATAGAAGAGAGTTTTATGGTCCTGTGGTCTTAGTACAGACATACTGTATCTGGTGCAAGTTCTCACCTTCTCCACAAATTCCTCCTCCTCTCTCACCATCTGGGACCTCTTCTCATCTATCTGTGTCAGTCTTTCACTCCTTTTTTCTTCAACTGCCTCCTCTGTCTCAGCTGATAAGGAAGGCGAGGACCAGCTGCAACAAGAAACAGACAAGACAATGAGAAGCTTTCATGAGACAGAATGTTTTCATTCAAATTAGTATAATTTAACATATTAAAGACCAGATTCATTTAGATGAAAAAAAACAAAAAAACGTAAATATTTGTGACAAAATCTGTGGAACTGCTATCTTGGGAATAATGCCTATGTTATACAATTTATCTCCCTGTTGTGATGACAGAAATGATCTGCACTTAGATATTTCAGGTATTTACTTCACATTTGGGCCAAAAGAGTTTCAAGATGTGCTTATAACTTGGGTCATATAACGGGTAATATAACAATATTTATCGTCAATGTGATATATTATGTTACATAAGCTCTATTGAGTACATTGCAGATTTCATGAATACTTCAAGAATATTGAAGAGCTATATATTCCATTATGTTCAGAGAGCAATTAGGCCTATTTAAGTGCATTTAGTGCTGCACGGTACAATCTTTTGTAAAATAACTTAGTAAGACTGATGTGGTTTGTCCTGCCCTCACAGCTTCAACAAAGCTTTGTTTCCCCATGGTCTCCTTCTGTTTAAACCAGAGAAACACTAAGCAAGCACTACCCACCAAACAAAATCTACTCTAGGGAGCATAACAGAGCTATCCAGCTACTCTGTCTGCCTGTTGTCTGTTCATTCGTTCTACCATGCCAGCATTTCTTGTGTGTGCATTCCCTGGATCAGCATTAAATTGAATAAGAACCTACCTTCTTCAAGACATTGCCATAAACTCGGGATATTTTTAGTGAGTCATAAACAAAGCCGAGTAGTTTAAAGGAGACCTGCGTATGTAGAGCCATCTGCGCTGCTGTGTTTAGGTCAGTACATCAGTGGCATAGCAGGCTGGGAGTGTTAGAGAAAAGTCAATCAAGCAATTTAGAATATTAGGATCACACCCATTTAATTCTCAACTAGTTTTTAACGATTTACATCATATCTGTTTTTTTTTCATACAGAATTTGTTGGATGTACAATGTGACTCTTAATTTTAGGAATATACAAATGTTTTTAACATTTTACTTCATGTTTCCTGAGACCTTAATTAAATTTAAAAAGTATATATTTTACATAAACTGGTCAGCCTGAATGACTACATACTGCATGCTTCTTCGTGTATTAAACGTGCGGTACGAAACAAACCGCAGTGATAGGCCATATCAAAGAGCAGATGACTGAATGAAAACAGATACTATGAGCTGTAATGCCTCAGAGTGGAGGCCTAAGTTAATCAGCGTGTATGTTTACACACATTAAAAGTGAGTCATGGTGGCGTCTGCCGCCAACAGAGTGAAAGTGAAAAAGAACAGCAGTTCAAGTTCCACTGAGGGAAGCTCCACTTACACACACAGTAACACATATCTTCTTCCTGCAATGATTCACATGATAACAGAAAACAAACTGGCAGGCAGTACATTGCTGTATCTAGTAATAATGCACGCACGGCTTCAGACACACACCCACTCACACCCCACTTAAATCAAAAGACAACGGTCTATGGTTTCAGTTATCAGCTGTAGACTTCTGCTTACATATGCAAAACAGAATACTACTCTGTAAATGACTGGCATGATCCGTTGAGTTAATGATAAAATGCTATAGGCATTCATTAATGAAGTACTATCTAAAATTTGTTATAAGCCTGGCTTAATTTTTAACATGGATTATAAATATTACCATGAGAACTGAAAATGGGGTCAGTTACTGTGTAAAATGTCCTTTGATTTATATGTAATTTAGATTTAATTAAATGGGGAATTACACAAATTTTGTCAAATGTCTCCAAAATGCAGTTGTTGAGATTTAAACAAAGTCATTCAGAGTGGTTTGATGTGAAATGGCCCATTGTAGAGAGACTTACCAACTCTGATTTCTTTACAGTGGTGCTGATGGGAATCAAGGGTCATAATGTCTATGCAAAGATAGCCATTTTATTTGCTATCCAAAGCTACCAGTGAATGTTTCTTCTGAGTCTTTATACTTTATGTTGATGATAGTAAAATATGAAAAAATATGTTTTTTGAGGACTTTTTTGGCTTGCAACCACCCACATGTACCTCTCCAGCATAAAAGGGTTAACTAACTTGTATCTTTCTGTAAGTGAGCTTTAAAAGGCACTAAACTCTTCAGATATCTGGTTCCTATCACCACCGCTATGAACAATTCTGATTCTGTAAGTTTCTCTAAAATGTTGCATTTCACATCAAACCAGTCCAAATGACTTTTTGAAATTCTGAAAAATCTGAGGCATTCCCATTTAACAATTAACTCTTTAACATTGATGCAAAAATGCCTGCTGTTTAATCCACACTTCTCTGTTAAGCACAGGATTTCCCAAAATTGTTGCCTTATTTAATATGTAACGAACATGGTCTTACAATGCTGACAATTTATAATTTTTAAATTTTCCTTAAGTCATAAACTACATTGAGTCACAGCACACCAAACAATACAGTAAGCCCTGTGCATATTTTATACAGTGATAGAAAACAATGTAGCATGCAGAAAGACTATGTCCTACATGCTAATATCTTTCACTCTCCTGTAGGTGTAAATTCACAAGGCATAATTCCTCTGATAGCAAATTTAAACAGGTTAAAGGCATCATTGCCAAATTCTCAGAATGGATCACATCAGGACGCTCTGTTCTGTTAAATTGTGGTTATGCTGCCATTCTATTTCATTGCTAGAGGTCTACATAGGCATTAAACTGAAGTCAATACCTGACCTGTACCCATGACCCGACACAACCTGACCAAGCTCCGATGGTACAAAAAATCTGCAAGCACTGCTGCATGTGTTGCAGTCCCCCTAATGGCCATTCTGCCAGCAGAATGAAGAACTGAATCCAGTGAACCACAAGCGCTGTTCATAAACAGGATTATAGGAACATGGTACACCACTTTCAAAGGTGTGGCACAAGGCCTGTTTTAACATATCAGAGCAAGCTCTGGCATTAGCAAACTCTTTTCTGGGAGTTGTCTGCAACTGTCCAAGGTCCCTGTCCCAGTACCTATAACACACTAGATAAGAACACGGGATCAGTGTGCAACAGACCTAGAGAAACACCAACACGCTGCCATACAGCCTCTGTTATCACTGTTTCCAGTCAATTGAGAAGTGACTGACTTAACTTTAACAATGTAGGTCACTATGTAGAACTATTCTGGAGCTCTACACTGGTAATCACAATGTGGCAGATTCACACCTTAAGGACAGCACGGAGATTTATAAATATGGCAACCATATGTGGCTACATAAGTTATTCCAATTTAAAAAGGTGTGATTATTATCACTGGGTTTTATACTGATTCATAACACTAACCCATTACTGACACTTTCCTCTCTGTGGTTATCAAAGCCAGAGCCACTTTTATCTGGCTGTAGTAAGTGCAATATAAGGTACATCCCACAGCCCCTGTGGATCTGCTGTAGCTAGTCTAATAGTGCAGGCAAGGCCAAAGGAGTTCTGTAATGCTGGTCAATGAGAGAAAGGGAACAGACTCCTTTACTCCAGTACAATGAGAAACAGACCTGCAAGCCTACCATAAATCAGCTTCTGTTAGCGCTGCTGAAGAGTCAGTGCCAGTCACACACACACACACACACACACACATAAAACCTGAAATAGACAGCCAGATCAGGATCCAGGCTCCAAGCCAATTCTGAAATGTCATTATCTCATAAAAGTATCTTGATACACTGACAAGAGACACACACGCAGACACACACACTCGTTTTTATACCTTGTCAGGACATGAGGTCATACATATGTCCCATATGCTCTCTCTCTCTATCTATGTATATATGTATATACATATCTATGTGAAGAAAGAGAGAGAATCAAAAAATTATTAGAAGTCAGGGAAAAAATCTGACTTCTAACAACTGTAAAAGACCTGATAGACCACCAAAACTGTAAAACTGTCACCATCAGATGAACAGTACTTTCAGCTTTCATCTTTGAGAGAGGAGAAAATCAAGCTCAACTCTTACTTCAGATCTGAAAAAATCCACACTGTGAGAAGACAACTCAACACTATGAGTCTAAAAGGATGTGTAGTTCTTAAGAAGCCCTTACTGAGAAAAAGAAAAAAGAAGAAAATTTGCACTAGAACACCAAAACTGGACATCTGAGATGTGGAGTAAGGTTTTATGGGCTGATGACTCTAAATTTGTTAATTGGTAATTGGATTGTGAAGCAGAAAATGTAACCAACTTCTAAGACTGAACTTTGGAGGTGTGGAAAAACATCCCTGCAGATTTCTTTGAAAAACTGAAAGCTAGTCTCGCAAAAAGAATGAACGCTGTAATAAAGGTAAAGTATGGGCAAAAAAGGATATTATATTTAGTTGTTGAGGCTTCTGTGAAATTTTAAACTTATGTTTCCTGAATTTTTTGATACAGATTTTTATGTATTTAATGGCTGTTTTGAAGAAAACTAAATAAATGTAGGGTGGTCTCTGACTTTTGCAAACTACTGTCTCTCAGTATATATCGCTGTTGTCAGAACAAAACTTCATATCTCCATTTTTGTTATTTCCAGTTTTGATCTAATTTGAAACGCCTGTTGCCCTTTACATTGTTTGTGAATTTCATGAAGAGTGGACCAAAAGAAACTGCTCAAAATTACTTAGAAAAGTCTGGTTACACTGACTTACACTGAAAATAAGTTTTTACTTTCTCCTGTAAAGTTATTCTTTTTTGAGATACGAGCTTTTGTTCCAAAGCAGTGATATGCAAAATTCATTTTCTAAGCTTAAGCCTGAACCAAATCCTGACTTTAATTTCTCTGACATTAACTCTTCCACAATGAAACATGTAATTTTGTGAAGAAACACTTTACACAGTCAAGATATTGTTGGTTATATGTGTTTTTCTCTGGTTTTCTACAAAGTCAGTCTACTCTTGACCTGAAAATGCACAAAAACAAACACACAGACACAGAGAGTAGGACATAATCAGGACAGGTTGTCAGTGTGAGTTCAAAGAGATGCTTATCTGACAGGCATTTTGCATAAAGCTGCAGTGACTGTGAGTCACCACTGACCCTTCCTTTCAAAGCAGGAAACACGTCAAAAATAAACAACCATGAGGGGGTGGCGGTGGGGGGGGGTGTTATAGACCACAGTTACTGAGCCTGGATGAATCACCTAGGAAGGATGGGTGGAACGCCCCGGATTAGCCATCAATTGTAGTCCAAAAGACTGAAAGTCCAAAACACACCAGCCAGCTGCCCACTCCCTTCAGCGCTTCAGCTGTGCTTACCTGGCCATGGCTGGCCTGTCCTGGCTGACGACTGGCTCTCTGTGTTGGTTGGCACGGCGACCACAACCCTCTTGTGTGGCGTCCTCTGAGAGGGTCTTTGAGTTGGAAGAGATTTCAGCCATCTCTGGGCCCTAGTGGACAGAGGGAGAGAGAGAGAGAGTGGAAGAGAGAAACATTAAAGAGAAGGGAGAGAGTGAACAGAGTGGAACTGTGGGTACTTTCCACATTAAAACAAACCTCCAGAGCCAGCCTATTCAACCGCTCACAATTAGCCATTCAGTCTAAGGCTTTATACAGGCCTTACACAACTACACTGGGCGAAGCAAGAAGGACTCAGCAAGGCTGAACAGGGATCAACCACAGACTACCCCCCCACGCACACACAGCCTGGGAAAAAACAGTGTCTTAGAGTGAATGAGGCCAGAGGGAAAGGGGGGTAGAGAGGTCAGAGGGGTGAGAGAGAGAAAGAGAAAGAGAGGGAGGGGATGGAGGGCTACAAAAGGAAGGAGCTATTCAGTGAATCATTCACTCCCATAAGCTGTTCAAAGTTTTTATTTGTTTACTGGAAAAGGCATATGATTGCCATTGACATCATCTGCTCAAGTATTGCAATGCCAATTTCCATATATTTCCATATATTTTACCCTTAGAAGATTCTATTTCTGTTTTACTAGACACTGAAAATGTAATTAGACAATTATGATTAACTACATAAGTAATAACATAATTACATTTACATTTTGAACCACAAGTGTCAGTGTCAAAAATGAGCTACTAGTAAGAAATAATATCAAATTATTATTTTTTTGTTTATGGCTGGTGACCTCACAGTATTAAGAATGATGGGAATATAGCTTATCTCAACATTAAAATATTTGACTGTCAGTAAGTTTAATTTATGCAGTTATTAGATTACATATGCATCCTCATCCTTAGATTATCTTATATCTAATCTCCTCAGAAAATTTCCTTAAAAATGTTTTTAGCTGGAAATTAAATAATTTGCTATATGTGTTGGTTTTGGGCAAAGTTGCCAAAACTCACAAAAAAGATATATAAAGAGCTTTATTTGCCATAGGTGAAGCCAATATAAACACCATCTCTTCTGAGTAACAAGCTGGGGTTAATGAGATTAAAGTTCAGCACAGAGACCAGGATGTGAATGATCTTTACTCATCCTAATGTAAAGGGTAATAAGAGTCATCTGAGTGAATGCACATCTTTGAGTGTTCAAAAGTTCTACAAAGATTTATTGGGGCTTGCAGAGATGATCTAGAATGCTCTGATAAAGTCCTCTCATATATCCCTGGAGAGCCATGTCCTAGCTTTTAGTGTTAACAGTGCACCACTGATACACAACACAGAGACATGCTTTCAAAGAGCTCTCATAACAGGATTGTGCCAGTATATGTTTCTGAAAACATCTGACAAGACTTCAAGTGAACTCATGCTTCCATTATGATCTTACCTAAAGCCAGACTACTTCGATGTTAGTAGGCACTTAAATGCAAACACTGAAACATTAAAAGATGTCTTGATTATTTGATTAATCTCCATTGTAAGAAAAAAACTATTAAAATGTACCTTCTTGATAAATTGGTAGTGATTAGTTGGCAGTCTGCATATTTTAAACAACTAAATATCATTTTTCAGTATTTAGTGTGTTCACCTTTGCCTTTATTGCTGCAATCTACAAATTAGCATAAAACACCAAAAAGGGCAAAAACAGCTTTTCCACAGCTGTATTTCTTTCTCAGTCTTAGAAGTTGGTTGCATTTTCTGCTACTCGCAATCCAAGTAATCCTAAACAAATTCAGTGATGTTGAGGTCTGGACTCTGGTTAGTCCATTGTTCTGAGACCATAAACAGTTTCTTTGTTTTATGTGTAATTTCTAATTTGTCTTTTTTGTCAGAAACTGCTTCTTGACAGCTACACATCCTTGTGTTGAGCTGTCTTATAGCAGAAGGATGGACAGAAACTCTTGTGGATTTTTTCAGATCTGGAGCTTGATATTCTCCTCTTTCTCAAAGATGAAAGCTTGAATTACTGTTTATCTGATGGTGATAGCTTTGGTGTTCTACCAGGTCTTGCATGGTTGTTAGGAATTGTATTTTCTCTGTATCGTTTAATCATTTTTTTGAACTCCAGTTCAGTTTGTAAACTTGTCTTTTTCATTTATTTTTCTTTATTATTAATATATATTTTTTTCAAAAACTTCCTACTGTATCCCTTTTTAATAAAGTACTGGAAATTGTTAAGCTGATGTTTTATTGTTTTATATTTTTTAGTGACAGCCCTACATATATGTAAAAAAACGAAACAAAAAAAAATGAAATCTTGTGTGTAACACAATAAACCAGGAGTGGGGAACTGCACAGTTTGATGATTTCCCTGTTCAAACGCAACTGATTCAAGCAGTTAGTTACCAGGTTTAGGAATGTTAGAGCAGAGAAATCACCAAACTGTGTCGAAATCCAGACCTCAGTTCTGCACCCCTGCCATATACTGTGGACATAAGGACCAAATAAAATCTGTAAGTAAACTTATGTGTGTGGATTTTGCTGGTTGGCGGATTTTGCTCACATCAGACAACATGTATGTTTAACATGTCATGTTAAAGTAGGTCAGCATGGTGCAGTCATGGTGCCGCATCAGCAGTTCCTGTTAGGGGCTCTAATGGAAAATCTGCATATGATTTGGATGAACACCTCAGCAGTAAGGAAATGAGGAATGGACTAATATAGGGCATGCAGACAGCTGTGGAGTAGAGCAGAACAGCAGAGGAACTTCAAGAAAACGGCAACAGAGTGTTCATGCAACCTTCAGGCAAAGTCCGCCCACTTACCTTACTGTGAGACATCCTGGCAGACACGCTCGTTTTGAAGTCGTCATCTGCTTTGCCATCAGCTGCCAAAACACACAGACATACAAGTATGTCACACACGTCTGCTGTTCCATCCTAAACACATTATCTACCTCTGTTTCAGCTATGCTTTCATTTCATCGGGACTTTACTGTGAGTCACACCTGCCAACTCAGGTTTTCATCAGAGAGATAAAATGGAACTCCGCAAAGGTTATGTAGAAGTTTAGTATTTTAACATCAGCATTCAGTATTAGTGATTCAAATGTTTTAGTATTACTTATTATGTATAAAACCTTGAAAATTTACAGACATCTGAAGGCTTAAAGCTACGGCACACCACTGCATCATGTAGCGGAGCGCTGCTATCGAATGCATGCAGTGAGCATGAAGTTCATTTTTACACTTTACTCATATAAATTAAATGAAATAAAACTTTCTGTATAATATACTATGCTCGGCATCAGTTTACTACCTCTTTACAAACTCACTGCATTCAAGCTGAAAGATACAAGGTGAAAAAAGGACTAGGATGGTAACGTTAGCTAGGGTAACAGACCATTAGTCTGTTTATCTAAAAGCAACATGCGGTTTACTGCGGCTGTCTGGGGTCTTGATATGGCTTTAATTTAACATAGTAATGGCAAAATGCTCAGTGGAGCACTGTGAAGCACTGACATACTGAACAGTGCTCTAAGTTGCCAAGTGCCACCGCTATTGACGAGGAATGTTGGTGCCAGTGTGCCGGTTTACCTTCATTAAAAACAATGGTTTCAAATTTTTGTGTGATGCGTGACGCAATGCATCTGGTGTGAGGTGGCTCTGAAAGGGGAATTCCAAGTATCATGTCTTTACAGTGGTGGGGTCAAAATGTCTACAGCAGAAACACAGCCATTTCTTTTTCTATTACAAAATGACCGGTAGACCTACATGTGTCTTCTGAGTTTTAATGTGTAATGCTGATGAGGTGAAATAGTGGCAAATCAGGATTAAAGAAGGTTTCTTTGTGGACTATTTTGCCAAACAACTTCCTAAATGTTCCTCTCTGCCATATATGGATTTTAAAAATACGTTTAATCTCAAAGTATTGTGAAACTATGTCTCAGGCATCAGACAACATATTCATACCATTTAACTGAATAGCTTTCTGTTAGGGAGCTTTTAGGGGCATTAAACTCTCTGTGAACAACTCTGACTTTCACATCAAAGCATTTTGAATGAATTTGATCACACCTCAATGACTGTTGTGCAGAAATTTTGTAAAATCTGTGCAATTCCCTTTAAATGGTTCTCTGAAGTACAGAAAACCATGCCCACTCTTAGTAATACCCTACAAGGCTTTTGATGACTGATTAGGTGTTCTTTTAATATTTTGTATTTTTATCAAGTAGTATGCACAAAATAACAAAACACATAAATGACAACACCATCTTAACTGTAACATTAAAATAAAAGAAGAAAAGTAGAAAAATTCATTTGGAACACAAAAAGAGAGGAAAACATAAAGGTTCTGTGTGGAAGCTGTTCCATAACCATTTAATATGGTTGTATTTAGCATCAAAAAAGGTTCTCCTATTGTTAGAAGTCTTTCAACTTTTTAGTCTTTAGGAAGAATGTAGTTCTTTTAAACAAAGACCTTGGGAGTTTCCGACAAATCTCATAATGCACCATTCAAATCTCAGTGAGAACTCCAGTGTACACAGCACCAAGTGTGTAATGAGTAATGATTTAATACGAAACTGAAAGACTAGTTGTTGGCCACTGTAGCTTTTCTGTGTGTGCTCTTCGCAAACACAAGACAGGAAAAACTGGTCTCATCTGTCTCGAGCCTAATCTTCAAGTACACTGGAATGGCAGGGACTTTTTATGTCCTATTTATGATCCTGGCCATGATGTGCATTAAATTGCTACCCAAACACTGCACTGGGAAACCAACGTTAAAATGTCACAGCTGCACTGTAAATAACAAACAGTCTAAAAACGTACAGCCCATTTGGAAGCGGCTGTGAAAGATTAGGAGGTGAGTTTGTGTGTTCTGCATGGGAACACTCTGACTCTCCTCCATCTGGACTGGCTCTGTTGACTGGCCAACGTTACCTGTTAAAAGTTTGGGGACACCTTGCCTTAATGTTTTATTTTCACTCTTATTTTATAATGAAGTATGACTTTGAGTACATTTCAGAACTAAAGCTGGAATATTAGGTCTTAACCTCAGAAGGAAATGCAATCTGAAACTTGCCAGTATTTTTTATTTTTCCTTAATTTTACCCCCAGTCTAATTCCAGCCCCAACTCCCTCAGCTTATCCACTCTGCCTTTGCACATTCAAATCAAGTGCTTGCCATATTGAGGGCCATCTTCAAGTAATCAGTAGGGAGTGGGAGTGAGTGAGCAGGTGAGCAAGCATCAATGCAAACAGAAGTGCAACATGTTTGGCAGGACAGCAAACAAATGTGAGTTCCACTCTACTATTTAGTCAAATATTCTTTTTTATGTAGTACTTTTTCCACGTTTTTCTCACAAAACCATTTCACAAAATCACAGAACGTGCGAGATAAAGTAAAAACTCAAAACTGTAACTATATTTCTCCTCATGCTCAGCTGAGTTATATCCATCTTCTTCTGTAAGCTTCTTCTGTAAACTTATCCTTGCCTAAGCGCTAAGCAAAGCAATAGTGCCAGCTAAAAAAAAACTGAAAAACTATAAAAGTACAATTATTTGTACTAGCAGGTCAGACTGGAAGAGGAAATTTTTGCTCAGACTGACCGACTGACTGAGTCACTTTGTTGAAATGTCCATGTGCAAGGAGTGCAGCTTGCCACATCTCAGTCTAGTTCAGACTAACTAAAGTTATCTAGCAAGCAGTGTACCAGGGACAGTTGCATAGATAAGAGGCAGGTTAGCTAAAGCTGTGTTGCTTCATGTGTGTGTGAGTGTCCTTGTTTAAAAAAGTGCAGTGGTCTGCAGAAACCCGTTGGAAGTCACTGACTTTTATTTTGCAGGAAAGCCAAAAATGTCAAAGGAATTTTTAAAAATTAGTTATTACAACTTCTATGTTTGTGTATTTTCTGATATACTTGTTGAGTGCATAATTTTTTTTATTTTTTTTTCACTTTTTTAAAACATATACTGGCATCCATGTAGCTTTTCTTTTGTCTTCCACCATCCTCTGTAAGAGTAATTTCTAGATTTTTTTCTTAGATTTGTAAGATATTTGTAAGTTCATTTTTTAATAAACATTCAAATTCCAAGAAGTCAAACATTTAGCACATATTATTGTAATAATTTAAATGAAGAAGTGTAAGGATATGCTGTGGCATGAATGCAGCTACATTGATTCTGGCTGTATTTAGACGGACCGCTATATTGTTTAATTCCATGTGTGTTCTGCATTTAGCTAAACACAGTTTGATTAAGCTTACATTAGCTAGATAGCAGTGTACTGTGGACGGCTGCAGAGATGAGGACTTCGGATAAAAAGAACAAATTACATCTTTTGTTTCATTGTTGATTCTTGTCTCCTCCACTTCCTCCAGATAGTGTCCTATTGGCTGACTCATTGATATGTCAGAGTACACTTCATCAAAAGTTCAACTCAACTTCAGACAAATTTTTTGCATAACTTTCTCGCACTACCATGTGTTAATGCATTGTTCCGTGAACACTCCTAGTTTGTGTTGCGAAACTTGATGAAAAACACCCTACTTTGACAGCCACGTTCCATTTGATTGATGTGCAAACAAACTATTCCCAAACCATAGTTTTTGTGTGAGGTCTAGGGGCAGGCGTTTTTAAAACAGGGATACAAACAAAAAACACATTCACAAGGAACCACGTGGTGTGGTGGAGTGTTAAAGCAGCACATGACAACACAGCTAAATGAGCAAAGCATCAGTTTGCATCCATGCGGATAGCAGCTTCTTCCTTCCGCTGAAGACTGGCAAGGGCATCCTGACATTTTTGCATGTGTTCACACTCTCTTCCTTCATTAGGACTGCACTCCACAGCTGCACGTGAAAACTTCAAACACAATGACACTCCATAATGGAGTATTAGTGTGGAGGAACTGGTTTGGAATAGGTTGTTTGGAAAAGGCTGCAACCTCTGGTGGAACTGGAAACTGTTCTAAACAAACTGAATATACTACCAAATATTTACACAATAAAATATCAATATTCGTTAACTTAGTCTCACTTTGTTGATTTTTCAGAAATTTGCATTTATGGCATTTGGCAGATTTACAATTTGACCATTTTTACAAAGGTAGGTGAAGGTAGTGTTAGGAGTCTTGCCCAAGGACCCTTATTGGTATAGTGTAGGGTGCTTACCCAGGTGGGGAATTGAACCTACACTGATACAGTCTAGAAGGCAGAGGTGTTTCCCACTACACCATACCAACCACAAGAAATGCTTATCATCTCAGCTTCATGTTCACCAAAGTGTCTTCCTTGGTATGAAGTGTATATTTCCTAGTTTTCTTTCTGCAAACTAACAAAAAATAGCCATTTTGAAACGCTAGGTGTCCCGAAATGTTTGACAGACGACGCATGTGCTGCTCTTAGTCTTCAGCGCTCCATATTACTCTTGCTAACAGAGTGTAAGCAGAGCGCAGTCTTCGAGGCCAAGAATCAGAATGAGAATATCAGTTCTCCACCCCAGAGATATGGTGAAATATCATGATTAATTTTCACATCAAACCTCAAGAAAATGTCATGTTCATTCCTTCATCTTTCTCTTTCTCTCTCATTCCTTTCTTCCTGAGCAATGAAAATGCATGTGCCGAGTTAGCATTCCTCTTCTTGTAGGCGAGATTTTCCACCAGTGTGTGCAGAAAAACGGCTTGTGCCGCAGCAGTGGAACAGATGAGCAGTGCGCGAGTCTGGATAAAAACCTTACCCACTCGCTCTAAATACTCACCCAGACCTGCCAAACGGGGGGATCCCTAACGGCAACCCAGGCGGCCTGGCCGGCACACTACACTATTACTCAAGTCAGCTTGCTCTCCATACATCATCTTCACACGTGTGTCTGCATGTGTATGCGTGTAAGTGAGACAGGGCGAAAAAAAAGAGAAAGATTATAAAAGAGTATAACTTTGCGTGTTTCCAGTAAGGGTGAGCAATACAGTGACTTGAAGAAGTATTCACCCCCCTTAGAAGTCATCAGATTCATCTGGATTACAAGAGACACTTTGATATTTTGTGCTGTGTCATATTTTTTTAGGAGACTGAACCTCAAAATGTTTTCAATTTGAAGTGATATTGGTTTTATGTGAGAAAATGTCCTGTGATAACAATTACTAACTGAAAAATGTTTGCGTAAGTACTCAACCCCTGCGCTGTGGAAGCTCCAAGCTTACACAGTTGAAAGATACTGCCCTGATAAGAACACAATTGTCTTACATTTGGCCGCTATGTGAGAATTATTAAAAAGTTTAGCTTTTCTAGAAAGGAGACTCTTCAAGTACCATTGGTCAGACTGTGAATCTGGAAGAAACTTGCAAAAATGAAGAACAAAGATCATTCTAAGGCAATCAGAGATAAAGTTATAGACATGCACAAGATAGGAAGATGCTACAAAATAATATCCAAGTTCATCTGGACATCCCAAAGCACTATATCCAAGTCCCTTTGGACATCCCAAAGGGCTGTTAGATCAATTGTAAGGAAATGGAAGCTGCATCATATCACTGCCTAGACAAGGTCGTCCCTCAAAACGCCAGAGCGGGGGGACTTGTAAGGGCAGCCACAGCAAGATCAACAATCACTTAGAAGGAGCTGCAGAGTTCATTGGCTGACACTGGAGAAAAGGATGCACCAGTCAACAATATCTGCATACATCTGGCCTGTATGTTAGGATGGCTAGAAAGAAGTCATTATTGAAGAAAAAACACATCAAAGCAAGTTTGGAGTTGGCACGAAAGTATCAAAATGACAACTAAAATATGGGATGAGGTTTTGTGGTCAGATGAGACAAAAATGGTGCTTTTTGAACAATGATCCCAAGGCTAATGGCAGAAGACCAAAGCAACACAGAAATGGTTGAACAAACAAAAAGTCATACATAGTCAAAGTCCAGATCTCAATCCAATCAAAAATGTGTTGCATTTGGCTTAAAAATTGCTGTCCACAAGCATTCTGCAAACAAACGGAACAATCTGCCAGGAAGAACAGGCGAAAATCTCACCGAAGCAGTGTGGAAAACTAGTAGAAACTTTCTTTAACAGACTTAAAGCTGTTAAAGCAGCAAAGGTGGTTCTATCAAGCACTAGTCTGAAGGGATTAAATAGTATCAGCCTTTTTGAGTAATGAATTTTGACTTTCAAAATTTACTTTCAGAGCACATTGGTTTATAAAATAAATATGGCCTGAAACAATCTGTGTGACTTTTGTAATCGAGATGAAAATGACGACCTTTAAGGAGGCTGAACACTTTTGCAAAGCACTATATGTCAAACAATGTAACACTGCAAATACTTGTAAATATTGTCTTAATACAGTTTTTTCTGAGCTTGGCTAACGGAATAAAGTGATGCTACAGCAAATACACTTTTTTAGGGAACGAAGTTATATGTATCAGAAAATGTGAGAGTATCTTACAAGAATTTACAAGCCAGTAAATTCTTCAAAGAAAACAAAGAATAACTTTTAAACATGTCGTAACCATGCGCTCTTAATGAATATGAATACTGAGTAAATCTACATCTGTTACCTCTAGCGTAGGTCCTTCAAGGAGGCTGATTTAATTAAACCTGGTTGCTGCCTACTAAATTCATCAAAGGCTACAAAACAGTGGCAATCATAGGAAAACATTCAAGGTTCTCTCATTTACAAGCCATTAATGGGCTAACATGCAGTAAGCTCATTGTTAGCCTCACAAGCCAGACTTCTGTCTATCGTCAAAGAGTGCTGCCTAATGTGGTCGAGAACTGTCAACTTTGACTATACTGGGCCGATCGACTTACATGCAAAATAACCAAGCACAAAGAGTTGCCTTTCAGTGATGCCTAGAGGAAGGTTTTAAAGCGAGGCTACAACAATAACACATTTTCAGATAACAAAGTGATATACATCAGAAAGCATGCAAGAGTATCTTATTTACATGCTACTAAATTGTTCAAAGAAAACAGATACAAAGATAGGTTTTTGTGATGTTTAACTTGGAGAAACTTTGTTCTGCAGCTAGCTAGCGAAGAAACTAACGATAGCAAACTGATGAGCTCTCTTCAGACCGGATGTCTGAGCACAAAGCTGAGTGACAGAGTGAAAGTCGATCTCGTTATGTGGTGTGTATAGCTGTCACTGAGCTACTATCATGCTGTCACTGAGGCCACCACACACCAGCAACGTCCACACATCGGCGCTGCCACTCAGCATTCTGTCATTACTATGTTCAATTAGAGCTGTATCGAGACCACAGAAAGCCACAGTAGATCACCTTTGGCTTAAAGTTTACATAGAGAAAGGCAGCCAGTTCTTTCAGATAAACAGAGAAATGCTAACGGTTTGTTACCTTAGCTAATGTTACTGGTCTAGTCTCTGTCACCTCGTATCTTTCAGCTCAAAAACAGCGAGTGAGCGTGAATAATGATGGTGAAAGTTTTGTTTCATTAAATTTATACGAGTGTAATGTAAAAATGAACTTAAACTTGACATTTTTCAGCACTTTTACTGCATGAATTCTACAGCGGTGATCTGATACATGATGTTATCCCCTATGGAAATTTAAAAAAATATGGCCATATAAGCACATTTATCACAAAGAGTCAGTCATGTATTTCAAAATATATGTACATATATGTTATGTCCATATATATATGTATCACATATTGGACATACATGCATAATATATGGATCATATATATGTGTCTGATAGGTGGGTGAACACATGCATAATATATATATATAGATGTAAGGGAAATCTATATATACTAATATATTTTACACAGCAGGCTCTGTTATTATCACAAAGATTCTGCTGCTGCTTTCCATGTCCACTCTTTCTCAATACACTAGGACACAATATTAACCTCATAAACTCCATTAATCATTAGGACTAAAGTTGTGAAAGACAAGTGATTACAGTCCTATCACTGGAATTGTACCAGAACTAGCTGTATGTTGTACACAACTATCAGAATGATGCTGGTGGGCGTGTACGTGCACAGTCTGAAGGTGAGCTATAGGTTGACAGTATGGTTTTACTCATGCTATAACAGATGGGTTGCATTTGAAACACCAGGCTTTGTCTTCCTGTTAGTGAAAAGTCTGTTAAACAGAGCTCGTCCTCCAACAGCATCTGGGGAGGACCATGACATGCCCTTTCACCTTTTCAACAGAATGAAAAAAAAACTTGCTACAATGACCTTTCTGAAGCATTTAGATTGATGAGCTGATCATTATTAGAGTCTACATTCAAGGGATGAAGAAACGACAAACAGAAATCACCAATGATAACTGTGTATCACAATTAGAGCTTAAAATATTCATCTGAAACTGACAGGAGCCAACTACTGATGTCAGGTTTGGTCAGGTTCAGCCGGGTTTGGCCAGACTATGTCTAGTTTGGTCAGGTTCAGTCCGATTGAGTCATTTGTCCAATTTTTGTTGGGCTTGAGCAAGGTTCAACATTAACGTATTTAAGCTTGCATTTATCCCAGTTTAGTTTTTCTCATTACTTTTCCTTTATTCCTTTAAATATTTCTCAGTTTGGCATGCTGAAGTCACTTGTGTTCTTGTCAGCCCATTGAGGTCCACAAGGAACAATGTATTGTGTAAAATTTAATGGCCCTTGCTCATCAAAGTTGTGTAAAAAAGTACAGTCTTTAATGACGTACAAATTACTCTGTGTCTGATTCATGAAACTTCTGTAAGACGTGGAAACAAGCAGAGACTTAAGCCCAAATGATGAATCAGCTTCAGTTCGTGAAATTAATTACCAGTCTACCTGCGTTTATATATCATTTACCTGAAGTACACCGTAATTCATCATGTTTTGTTAGGGAGCCAATAAAACATTATTCAGTGAAAATGAACATTAGCTATGCTTGAAGGTGGAGTAGGAGTTCACTGCTCCTCATACTGACTAAACTTTATAGTGTTAAAATAACAACACAAAATGAAACGTTAAATAAACTAAATTAATTAATTTATTAATTACAATTCTTAATTTTTTTTATGAATAAATTGGTTAAAGTGAGTTTAAACTTAATTTTAGATAATTCTAATTCTTTTAGCTCATTGATGATCTGATAATGGCTGTCATTGAGGCTAGGTAACTTTCCATCATCACTAAGCTAACTATGCTATGGGTTACGTGAAGTTTTATTTGGATTGCTGTAGGTCACACAGAGTGTTCTCCAAATAAAGCTCTAATCATGATTACTTTGATGAAACCAGTGACCCCCCCACCAAGTTAGCAAAGGCTCTGCTCTTTCACACAGTGCGTCTGAGATAAAAAGTCATTGTGCTGAAAGGTGTCTGTGTGTGTTTAGCTTCACTCTGTCCTAAGTTCGACAATCACTACCTCTCATTGTGGCTGTATGGTGGGACAGTATATATCTCTTCCTTCTCACTTAAGAGAGAAAGGGACACAGGGAGCACAATGGAGAGAGGAGAGGGAGAAAGAAAAGAGCCCTATTCTTCACAAAGGAGCCTTTGAAGGGACTGAAAGGGAAGAGACTTACCCTTTGGCATCTTGACGTCCTCCACTCCCAGCAGACTGTGAAAAAGAGAGGCAGATATTAGTGATGTCACACAAATGCAGAAACAGCACAGAACTTTAAAGAAATAAGCCACGATGGGCTGCACATTGCAGTGATTTTACCCCAGGATCACTAGGCATAATGCAAAGCACAACAGCCTTCAGTGGCTTATTGCTTTTATACAAAATACACCATGATAAAATTTAGCAATGTTCAAAAAAATGTTTCTTTTATGATTAATATTAATTGCGATAAACAATTCTTCTGCCAAGCAATAGTAGTTTATGGATGCCAAACAACATAACAAACAAATCAAAGCTTATTCCATGAACAGCACAATGGCATTTAATAACTTGGTGCATTAATACAGAATTCAGTTGTGTGTGGTCATATGTGCATATCACAGCAGTGTAGCTAAAGGGGGCCTGGGATGGGGGTTGTCTGATGGGGCCAAGACACCCCATTTGACCCCCACATTTCACATGGTTGTAAAAAAAACGTCCAGTGTCAATGAAAATATTACAAAATGTTATGCTGTCCTGTGCAAAGGTGCAGATTCCTTGCGTCATGACCTTTTCCACTCTAAATAAATAAAAGACTTGGATTTGCAGTGAACACTATCACCATGGCAACATTTACACATCTGCACACCACAGTCAGTCATGCAAGAGCGCACTGAACTTTTTTCCAAGAACAACATGTAAACACAGCATCAGTTCGCTCCATTGTTTCTCCTGATGGTGAGAACTTAGATGAACTGTGCTCCAAACTACCAATTAGCAAACAGAAGTACATGACCGTCATAAAGAAAACAAAGTTCAAAACAGTGAGATACCTGCTGTGGTATTCTGTCACTTGTTATAGCAACTAATGTCAACCAAATGTGAGGTGAATAATCAGGTTGTTTTTTTACTCTACAACTATAATGAAGCTGGCTGGTTGGAGTTTGTCATTTTTGCAATATACCAATGCAATTCCAAAAAAGTTGGGACAGTATATGAAATGCAAATTATAACAGAAAGCCATGGTTTGTAAATCCACTTTGATCTGTATTTAAATAAAAGCAGTAAAAAGACAAGTTGCATAATGTTTTCTCTTATCAACTTCATTGTTTTTTGTAAATATATGTTCATTCTGAAATGAATGCCTGCAACTGGATGTTCGTGGCCTACAATCCTCCAGATGGCACTGCATTAAAACCAACATACTTCTGTGATGGATATCACCACTTGGGCTTGGGAGTACAAATGACAAACTGCTGTCAACACTGTTTGTTGCTGCATTTACAAATGCAAGTTAAAACTGTACTATGTACAGTGGAAGCTGTAAGTCAACAACATTCAGAAACACTGCCGACTTCTCTGGGCTCATGTTCATCTTAGATGGACTGATACACAGTCCAAATGTTTAGTGTGGTCTCAAGTCAACCTGTAAGATTGTTTACAGAAATAACAGGCTGCACAATCAGAAAGTGCAGGTGCTAGATTGGCCTGTATGTCTCCTATTGACAACGTGTGGCACATTATCAATTGCAATTTACAACAACGAACGCTCCATATGGTTGTGCAGCTGAAGACTTCTATAACTGAAGATAGGCAAAAAAAATGTAAAAAGTGGATCAGTTGGTGACATCAGTACCCAAATGTTTACTAACTGCTGTTGGAAAGACAAGTGATGTAACCCAGTGTAAACATTTTTGGAAAATGTTGCAGGCAACATATTTGGAATGAGCATATATTTATAAAAAAACAATAAAGTTTATAAGGTAAAACATTAAACATTGTGTTTTTGCACTGTTTTCAATTTATTACAGGTCAGGCAGAATTTACTAATCTCTGCTTTCTGGTTTTTTCTGGCATTTTACATACTGTCCTTTTTTGAAACTGGGTTTGTAGATGTCTCTGGGCCTTAACGCTTGCTAGTTAACCCCCCCACTTGCAAGCAGGTCACCCCTAAAATGAAATTCTGGCTATGCCACTGGTATTTCAAGCATTTTACAACAGCTTTGAACATGGCTCAGGTTGTCAGATTTTAGAACCAGAAATATCAGTTTTATAAGACATATTTTCACCCGAAATCCCCTCGCCTCCCTCCTCCTAATATCCACACTGTACACTAGTCAGATAAAGTCAAGGGAACTACTCTGGTCAAACGCATGATAAAGCGCACTTCATGAAGAGCATGATAAAATCTGTCTTTTTTTGCCAACTCATCCTGCACTTTTGCAAGGGTTTCAGAGTAAGACTAATCGCAGAGGATCTGCCAACAAGATTCAGCTGAGTTCCATTACACCAAGGTTTTCTCGCATCTGTTTGGACCCTGACTGTTAGATCAGTCCCTAAGGACTGAGAGAGCTCCTGCAGGAACAGCATATGATGGAGAGCAGCTGCCTGTAGGGCAATTAAAATGTAAGACTTGCATAAGCATAACAAATTTCACATAGGGGAATCAACCTCGAAACAAAAAAAAGTCTGACTCAGGAACAGACATGCATCTGACAGCCGACGTGTCATCAACAGCAGCCAGCCAGCGCTGCTACAAAAGATTACAAAAGAGGAAATACGATATCTTGGGCATGACCCGCACTCAGCGCAGCATCTACCAGTGCAAAGCTATCAGCGCACTGAAAAACACAATTTGCCACAAAGCATGAAATAAACAGACTAAACATAACCAAGACAACTTCCCTTCACAGACTGAGTGACTGCTATAGCAGTTCCCACAGAGAGCCGAGCTTGAGTTACAGTCAGAGGATTTAACAAAGAGAAGAGTCAGAATACAGAAAATCATGTACACTGCACTAAGTGCTACGATTAAAGATATATATATATATATATATATATAGAGAGAGAGAGAGAGAGAGGGAGAGAGGGAAAGGAGAGAGGCAGAGAGTGAAAGAGTAAGACAGAGAGAGAGAGAGAGAGAGAGGAGAGAGGGAGAGAATGAAAGAGTAAGACAGAGAGAGAGAGAGAGAGAGAGAGAGAGAGAGAGAGAGAGAGGAAAGAACCAAATAAAAAGAGAGAGAAAAAGACAGAGAAGGCAGAGGAAGAGATGAGAGGGGAGAGAGAGGCAAAGAGAGAAAAAGAGAAGGAGAAAGAGAGAAAGGAGAGAGAGAGAGAGAAAAGCAGAGAGAAGAAAGAGAGAGAGGGAAAAAGAGCGGGAGAAAAAGAGAGGAGGGAGAGAGAGAAAAGAGAAAAAAGACAGGGAGGGAGGCAGTAAAAAAAAATCATGAGAGAGGGGAGAAAAAGAAAAAAGGGAGAAAGAGAGAAAGGAGAGAGAGAGAGTGAAAAAGAGAGACAGACAGAAAAAGGAGAGTCAAAGAGAGAAAGAAAGAAGGAGTGACAGAGAGAGAAAGAAAGGCAGGGAAGCAAAGAAGAGAGAGAGAGAGAGAGAGAGAGAGAGAGAGAGAGAGAGAGGGTGGGGAGAGTGAAAGTACTCTAGTGGGCAAAAACCTGTTCAGTGCAATCTAAAATAAAGTGGTCAAGCTTTTGACTTCACACTGTTCCCTCAAAGCTCATTGACCCTGCTGTCTCTCTGTGCTCTGCCTCCGCTGCATTCTAAGTGGCTGGGGTCCTCCGCCGGCCCCTGCGACCGCTTCGCTGATGGACTGTCAGCCATGACTCTGAACTCGACCGGCCGCCATGCCTCAGAGAGAGGGGTCAAAGGTCACATCTGCATGCAAATGTAGACTTGGGAAGAGAGGTGAAAGGATGAGAAGGGCAGACGGGGAGAGGAGAGAGCAATAAATCAGCACACCGAGAAAAAGCACTGGGAGGACGGAGAAAATGATAAGGTTTACGAAAAAAGCATGAGAGGCATCACAGTGGAGGTGGCGATATGACACAAACATAACATTATTATACTTTACAATATACGATTCAGAGCCCATTTATTCTACATCAGTCTTACAGGCAAAGTAACAAAACAGCCTGTTTAAAAAAAGGGTTCTTCTATTGTAACAAGTTTGACATTGTAACAATAGAAGAACCCTTTTTGATGCTACATAGAACCCTTTTCAAAAAGGTTCGATACAGAACTACCTACAGCACATTCTATAGAACCTTTTCAGAATTGAGCGTTCATGGTTGTATATAGAACTATTTTCTTTACCAAAGTACTGTTGAAGAACCATTCTTTTTAAGAGCGTCCATAACTTTACATATTAGCACATTAGTTCATAGCAGTGAATAATAAGTCTTAAGATAAGCCCTGAGTTCAAGGGCTAAAAGTCCAGCTGCTCTCAAACTATCTGCAGCTGAGGTCAGTTAGGCATCCTGGATGTGTTTTCAGAGCTAGAAGTGGAGGGCAGAGCTGCAGGGGCAGGACGATACGCCATCCTGAACTTTCACTTTCCTTAGATTCACTCATATTACATCGCCTTTGAGGCTCCTCTTTCATGTTGCCACGGTTAGTTTGCCCTAGTTTGATGTGGGCGAGGGCACGGCAGTAAAGAGAGACTCTAGCTCTACTCCAACAGTCAAAACATCTGCACTCCCAGCTCACACAGGGAGGCAGCCTGACCCCGTAATGTGAGTGAATTCCGCATTATCATTGTCATTCTTGTGGGCTAGGTTGAGTTCAGCTCTCCCTGCTGTGAAGCTTGGTAAGATGTAACCACAACATTGTTGTGTAAACACAGAGGAGGTGGAGAAATAAAAGATGGCCCAACCAGGACTGTTTTGACACCTTTATATCCCAGCTGCACACACAATAATGGTGCCAGAAAGGGTTCTTTGCCATGATTAGGCCTGAAATTTTAGCTGATGATTTCATTTCAATAATTACAGTTAACAGTTTAATTGTTTTTCGTTCATTGCAACTATTAAAAATTATCTGATAAGCTGTCTTGCTTCCCAGCTGTCAATCCTGACGAAACACAGCCCTAGTTCAAATAAGCAAACACTGTCTCAGTACGTGTTTTCTATTTTCTTTTTCGTACATCTGCCTCAACCCAACGGATAAAAGTGCATCCAAATAAATTCTGTTTGTTGTGACATAAACATATGACTGTGAAATCTAATGGCTGGAAAATGAACATGAGCTTAAATAATTGTGATCAGGCGATTATTTAATCATTGTGACAGGCCTTGCAGTGATGCCAAGAGACAAGTGAGTGTGAAGAACCTACAGAACCTCTACATAATAAAACGATTCTATAGTACGGTTCCTTCATGGCAAGAACCATTTAGGAACATTTGTTTTTAAGAGTGCATGAACTAGTGAAAGACACAAATGAAGTAAGAGGCTAAAAGACCATTAGAACATTGTCACTGCGGTCTTGCTCACAGGCTGTTGAGCAACACCTTATACCTCATAAGCGGATACTGTTTGTTTTTCTGTACCTCCTTAAAGAGCTGATCCATTTTGTGTTTTTAACATCTCCTTAACATTTCACAAAATATTTATGCTTGGCAACATTTTTTCTATAATAAGAGATGATGCAATATCACTATTTTGGTATACAGAGTAAAATGTTAAAAATATATGTACGATACTAAAATTGAGTGTTGTATTAAACATCGAGCAAAGATTTGAATGAACAAGATGTATGATAAAGATCTGCTTACAATAATATCCTAATGAGCTTTCTTGATTGACATTCCACAGTCTAACACTCCCAGTCTGCTATGCTACTGATGTAGAACTAAACACAGTAGCATGAGCAAGGAGAACCCTAGAGTAAACGGGCACTTTACATTGGTCATTTATTGGGCACGGAAACATTATTCATAGGACATACTGTGTGCTTGCACAGTATGCCTTACGAATAATGTTGGGTGCCCACAACAGCAAGATTACCCTAATGGGAAGGAAAACACAGTTTAAAAACCTCTATGTTTTAAAAGGAGCTATTTTCATTGAAGCACAATGAGAATTTGAAAGTAGACTGTAATGCTCATGCTACTCAAACACTCTGCAACCCCACACGAAGAACGACACAGCTAACATCACATTACACAGTGTGAATGTGCACTATTTCAGAACAGATTTATTCCAGGACTGGATTGGATTAATTCCTTTTACCTGCTGTCATCTGTTCCAGCATTTTCTGCTGATATTGCATGATATTGGACTGCTGCCATCTCTATCTATAACCATTTAAAGTAACACCAAAAACATGCACAGTTAAAAACTCAAAAAACCCACCAAACAACCAATAATACTGATTTCCAACTCAGGATTAGGGTATGAGAACTGTAATACTACTAAAAAACTTGCTTGGTCACACAATATATTGTCTATATTAATCGTTACTGTGATACTGGCCTTCAATCCTGATATCACAGAAGACGGCAATATTGGTATGTTTTGATGAATGTCGGTATTCATGTAATGCAACCAACGTTATGTCAGTCAAGATAATACAGACCTGTCTTCAACTACATCATATTACTGATTCACCAGCACGGATCGAAATAGTAATATGTAGCAATGCAATCACAATTCCAGTATTTTGTAAATATCATGCAGCCCTAATATTAAGTTTGCCAGATTCTCCTTTTTACTATCTCTGACTGTCTACAATCTCCAACTTCCCCACAGAAAAAGCCAAGTTTACTAAGCTACATTGAGCAGAAGAGTGTCACATTGCTCTGATTACTAGCTGCAGAAGCGTGGCACATAGCATAGCGTCAACATTCTTCTCAACCCATACTAGGCTGAGTGTCAGTGGACCCACGCCAGCATGTCACGTCATCACTTCAGTCTCCTGATGAATGTGTTCAAACCAGCTGACTCTGGAACACACCTGATATCTGCTGCGCTCACAATTACCCTCTAAGGGATAAAGTCCTGGGAAAGACCCTGTGTGCATATTTGCCGCCTGTGTAATTGGGATTGAATCCAACTGACTACACATTTATTTTTTCTCAACCAGACTAGCATTTAGGACAAATGCACCATCAGACAAAGCTCCTGTTTAAATGTGCTGGTTAAATGTGCATGTTAATACACACTGCCTTGAATATGAACTCATTTTGAGTCCGTATGTGATTGCTTTGGACTTTCAAACAGCAATGTCTCATTTTTGCTAATCCCTAGTGCGTAAATTACAGCTGGTGCAATTCCAACACGTACTCTTTAAAACACAGATTCCTAAAGGACACATGGCTCTGTGGAAAAAACATTAATCAATATAGAACCTTATAGGAGTAACAGAGAAAATTCAAAATTCAATTCAGTACAGTTTTGCTCAGGGGTGGGCAATAAATAAATCACGTCTCAAAGTAGCAGGGGGTATGACCCAAAAAAAACCAAACAAATAAAAAAAAAAAACATTGGCATAATTAAATTTCGGTATATATCACAGCATATATTCAACAGCTTTTTGTTTTAATTTTCTGTTCCACTTTAAATGGAGAATTCTGGCGCCTGTACAGAATGTAACTGCTACATCATTTAGCATGAAATAGGAGATTCTAATGAGAAATAAACTTCAGTTTCATCAAATTTCTCAATTCGTCTCATACGTGCTTCCATACGCTAGTGCTGCTGACCGATAGATGTTACTGGAATTCAGAGAATATTACATTCACCTTTAAGTACCAACACCTCGACATCACTTGATTCAGCTGATCGAGTCAAGTGGCTCTGTTTAGGCAGTACAAGATTAACAGAAGCACTCTGGTGTCCATGTTAGCATAAGGCTACCTCAAAAGGACCGGCCATTCCTTGATGTCTGCTCCAAAAAAAAAGTGGACTATTTCACTTGCAACAGACTAGTCAGCGGGAGGTGAACTTATCAAACCCCAGCAAAACCGAATAACGTTAAATGTTTTGTGAAAACATCTCAAAGTATTTTTTTTTTTTGCCCAAACTCTAATACAGTGGTGTATTGTTGACATGCTGATGTTAATATTTTAGTTTAAAAATTTAGCTTACGTGTATGTGCACCCAGGGTTTAACTGTACATTTGTTTTCAGATTTTCTACATTATGTATGAGAAAATGGTAAAAAAAAAGCTAAAAAAGACAGAGCTCTAATTACATACCACACAGATTTGATCAGCTCAGATAAATAAGCAATACAACATAAGCCCCTCCCCTCCCTGCCAAGGTTACTGTGTTAGGATGCACCCAGATGCCTAGTTTTGATCGTCGACAGTGATTTCCACAAAATATAATAAATGAGAGACCCTCGGGAAAGACAGCGGCACGTATCTGCCTACAATTTTACATTTTGATACACTATTTCCAATGACATTTTACTATACACATTGGAATTGTTACACCCTCAGAACCTTTATGTTATGTGTATGTCCCATAAACTTTGGTTCTTAAAATGGTTCTTAACATTGCATTTAGGAAAATTGTTCTTTAAAGAACCATAATTCAAAGGTTCTTCAGAGAACCAAAAGCGGTTCCGCATATGGGTCTACGGTGTGCTATGCAACATGGAGTTGTTCTGACACTAGACCTGTTAGTTTACCTGCCAGGTTACGTCTCTAATCTAAGCCCTGAGTCTTAAAAGCCGGAAGCCATACAAATAGATATGCAACAGCAGGACTGGCAGGTTGCTCACATAATAACAGTCTGAAAATGAACCAACAATGACAGGCTGTCACGTTCACTGTGCTCACAACTGTGCTACTCCGCTCAAAGGCGTGATGAGTCACCACATACCATGTACACACAGGCCATAAATAAGACACCTTTGTTTTAGGTAAAATTCTGGCATAATCCCACATCACACAGATTAACTGATAAAGGGAATTGAATAGTGAATCACTGTTCAGAACACAATGCAGTACTTCTACGCATCCAAGCAGAAGCCCACTAGCGATCGCCTGTTGCACAACTCCATTCTCATCCTCAGCTCAGAGACTGAAATGTTGCTCAAGGGCTGAATCAGGACCCAACAGGCTCCGTCTGCTGCTTCATTGGAGAGAAACAGTCCCAAACAAGGAGAGAAAAGTTTCACCCCTTCTTTCCATGTTCTGCTTATAGGGTGGATTGCAGTTTGGCCGATTAATGTCACCCAGCTCTCCTCGAGAGCTCATACACATTCGCTTCAAATCAACATGGTTGTAATTTGCCCGAAACGTGAAAACATTCCACAGCCAGCGACTTTAAACAAAAACAAACAGCTCAGATGTCATAACAGCAGGATGTATTCTGGTTGAGCCCCTTGAACTGTTCAGTCTTTCAGACTCTCACCATGAGCCGCTTTGAAAGCTGATAGATATATCCATTACAGTTCAACCAATATAAAAAAATATTTTTTACCACAAAAAAAATTGTTACCATGTACCAATTTTAAACAATGGTTTACCAACAATAAATAAATAAATTAATGTAGGTGATTAACAAGTTCACTTCTTTATCTTTGGCATGGATCTAAATAGCTAAAAACTAAAGCAAGTCTGTGTCAGCCTTTGTCTTTTTCATGACTTAGACTTCTATTGTTTTAGCCTCGTAGCTCCAGTGCAAAACTAAATTCTTGACTACATTTTGGGTTGGGAAATTAGTGTAAATATAATTTTTCAGTAAACCATTCCTTTAAGTTAAATTCATTCCAATGACCAATAATATCAACTAACATAATTTTATATAGATACATTTAGTTAATAAAATTCTGCTGAATGATACAGATTGCCGGGTATGATTATATCAGTTACCAACTGTCAAAATTCTTTAACTCAAATAAACAACTGGTTGGTTATTGATTAAAATTATATCACATTCCTGAAAGTAGTTTTCTTAAACAATGTTAAAAAGGGCGATTAAGCCAATGCTAATAAATCTTTGGAACCTTAATATCAAGCGATTTTATCATCCATTGTGGTATATCGGTCATTTACCGACATCCACAAGACATTCATAAAACCATAAAATATAAGTATAACTCACCTGTGCTGGGATCTCGATGCTGTTCCCTGCTCGCCCACACTGCTGCAGGTGAGGGAGGTTTTGGAGGTTGGTCCAGAATGCGTTTCCTGTTTTCTGTCAGATTCGCTCAGCGCCTCCTTCTCACCTGCCCCAGTGCTAGCTTCAGGGGTCTGACCCCGACTAGAGGAGGGCAAATCCTTTGACTTCTGCTCTGAGCTGGAGGCAGTGTCGGGAACCTCTGAGGTGTCCCGATGTCTGTCCCTGCGGGAGTATTTGGAGGAGATGTCTTCCAGGTTAGCATAGCGCTCAGCTAGCTCCCGCCGCCTCTCGGCTTTGTAGCGGGCGATGCGCTCTGCTTTGGACTCCAGCGCGGAGCCCTGAAGAGTCTCCACTGCATCCATCACCTCTCAGTTTTGACTAATAGCAACAGGTCCTTTAGCCTTTAATGTAAATAAAATCAGCTGAGTAGAGTCCAACGCTCCAGAAAAGCAGGTTATCTCCTGATGGACAATGTCTGTCCTTCAATTCATCTGACTGTGGAGAGAAAAGAGAAATAGCATTAGTAGAGTTCTTGAAGTTCTAACATGGCTCAATTTTCTAATCTCATAGCTAGGAAAATCAAACCCTTACTAAATACACACTAAACTCAAGTTGTGGAGCAAAGCCCTTGTGCACGCAGTCACACAGACTTGCAGTAATCTATTCATTCTTTTCCAGTATAAGCTCAGTCAAACACAGTTCACTCCTACTCTGAGCACTGCCCAATGAGCATTGCTTCTCATATTACCTTCACAGCCCAGATAGAGAGAGAGAGATTGGGAGAGAGACTTAGAGAGAACTCTTTCTTACAACTTCTCCTATCAGGCATAAACTGAAGACAAAAGTATAGTTCCGCCACATCACACAGCCATGACCAAATGCAGGTTTTATGCAAGAAGAAGCCATTCTTTCTCCAACAATGCAAGTGCCTGTGTCTGCATGTCTACATCCATCCTTGCTCTAATTTGTGCATTCTTACCTCTGCCGATTACAGAATATACAGTCTCTTCCTGCTTCCAAATAATCAAGCATGTAGCTGCATGCTCTGTACGTGTATGTGTACTACAGTACAGAGCATATGGAGAGAGAAAGAGAGTGTGGGTGTGTTTGTATTAGTGTGAGTCTGAGCGAGGGGGGGGGGTTGCTTGGCCCTGCTGGATTCCTGCTGTAGAGAGCAAGGGTTAATGGGCCACATCTGGGAGCTCACATTTAATAGCTCACACTCAGGGGGAGATCCAAAGAGAGAGCAAGCAAGAAGAACGGAGGAGGAATTAAGAGATGAAATGGTCAGAGAGAAAAAGTCTTTGAGAGAGAAGGCGAGAGAAGGATAGCAAAAAGACTGAGGCAAAAGTGGAGAAGTAAAGAAACACAATGTCGAAAAATGTCTTTCAGACAGAAACTCAGGAGTGTGATAGAAGATGGAATGAAGAGAAAGAGAAGAAATTAGAGGACATGGATGGAGACAAAGGGCAAAATACTCAAAAGCTAAAGTGGCTAACAACTAGTGGAAGCTTATACCCACCAATCAGCATGCCAAAATCATTACGCCATGCCTCAAACCATGTCGAGTTTTTAAGTTTGTTTTTTAACTGTCCTTACACAAATGAGATATACAGTTACAAATATATCACATTTAGTTGCGATCATGAAATTATAGCTGAAGCCCAGATAACCGAATTTATTTGTGACATATTCTTAGAAGAGTCAATTCATGAGAAAAGACCATTATTCTTGGAAGTGTTAAGGGAAAAAGAGGAAGAGGATGAAAAGCAACAAGATGGATGGATACAATCAGAGGAATCAGTAACAGCCCTTTGGAAGCCTGAGGACCTAAAAAGAAGACTGTATATTCTGGAGAAACACCGACCATACAGAAACGTCTTAATGGCACTTAAAAACAATCGGCCTGTTGCAATCATGAAATTTTAGCTGACAATTAACTACCATATAAACAACTATTAACAATTTCTCTTATTTGTTCTTTGCATTCAACTATTAAAGTAAAAGCCTGAAAGTGGCCAATTTGGCTGATCAGCATCTTGAATCCTAGCAGTCACTACTTAGTAGCTCCCAATTGATGAAAGACGCAGCTGGGGTTCAAATAAACAAACATTACTCATGAGTGCCCTCTAAAGGTGTTATTAACAAATATCAAACAAACATCACTCACCACTGCCTTCTAAAGGTGCCTAGGTACCATACTTGCCTCAACATAACAGATGACAATGCACCTAAGTCACACTGTTGGTTGCAACATAAACATATGATTGTGAAAACTAACAACTGTGGAAACTGATCGTGATCAGCTCAAACAATTGAGATCATGCAATTACAGAATAATTGCGACAGGCCTACTCGTTCTAAAGAAATATGTGTGTCTGTATAACAGTTTGTCTCTGTCACATTATGGTTCATAACCATACATTGCAAACATCACAATGAAAAGCTCTTCTGTAACAATCTGTGTGTAAGATTACAGTTTGTACATCTGTTTCTGTAACAGCCTTCATCATTACAGGCCAAGTCTGAATCTTGTTCTTGCAAAATTGCAAATTACATTCTGCAGACCTTCCAAGACACACACTGTTGCAGGTTAAAATAATCTGATGTCAAACTTTCATTACTTGTTAACTAATTAGCCTCATAGTTCCATCAGTGCAAATTCATGAAACAAATGTCAAACATCAAACATGTCTTTGAGAGAAAAAGTCATATGGTACACCTGGTATAGAACAAGGAATGCCAAGAAAGAAGGAAAACAAAGAGAAAGAGATGATATGATAAAACACAAGAAAGAAAAGACAAAAAGAGTAAAAGAGAAAACATGTATATCTGTAAGATACATTATATAAAGGCAGCATTCAGAATACAGTTACCATTAAAATGTTTAGAACACTCACTCCATTTTTGTCATTTTTTAGTTTTTGAATTACCCGTTCTTCTTTACATTGTTTGTAAATTTCATGATAAATGGATCAACAAAAATGACCCAAAATGACTTTGGAAAAAGTCTGGTTCCATTCCATAAGTTCTCATTTTGGAGATACCAGGTTTTGTTCCGACAACAGCAAAACGCTTGTTTAGTAACTGTTTTTAAAATCAGTGCACAATATGCACCTTCTTTACAAAAACTGAAGTTTCTGCTAAAACTTGGGTAGACTGATAAATTGTTGATAAACTGTTGCTGATCTCAGTTTTTCCCCATGTGCTTTATCACTAGATATACCAAATATATTATAAATATGTGACATTTTCTATACAATACATTACTAAATACATGTAGGACAGAATGTTCCGTATTCAGCCATCACTACTGTCTCAACGTATGGTGTGGGGAGACAAAACAGTGCACTACAAAAGAGGGGGGAAATGGGGGAAGAAATGAGAGTTGTAGGGAGGGTGAAGGGGTGAGAGGAAGAGAGGAGAGGAGTGAGGGAATCACAGTAAGTTGAAAATGGAGAGGGAAGAATGTATATGACCTCAGCCCCTCTGGGGAACATTTCGAAAGAGTCTCCAGTGACGAGAAAGCGCCTCACAAATCTACTGCAGCGGGCCCAGCAGCCTGCTGGCACAACACTGGAGCTTCTGCTTAACTATAAACAGTAGAGGGAGGCAGGGCGGGTCAGAGACAGGGCAACGCCACAGGGAACTGCATGACAGACAGTGTGTATTCACCTGAACTTACAATCAAGACTCAAGATGCTAAATACCCACTAAACTCAAGTTACTGAACTTCTGTTGACACTCAACGCCACAGCAGGCAACTCAGATTATGGAAAAGAGAGCAAACAAAAGGTTTCACTTTGTAAAAGGCTACTAACCTACAATCCTCATTGCCAGTGTCTACAAGTCTGACTAAAGGAACAGTTTGGCAAAAAAAAAAAAAACTAATTTACACAGCTTTCCCTTTTTACAGTGTAGTCAATCAGTAAAGTCATGTTTCATGTCTAGAGGCTTGTTTCTTTGTGTATCAAAGCTAAAAGGCTAATGTAGCTAACAAGTAATGGAAGCTAACACCCGATTAACGTCCAGTTGCCATAAATAGACTTGGTTGAGTTGGGTTGTAGAACTGTCTAAGTGTTGGCCCTATCATCAAGCTCCTTGGTGGGTAAGATGCCCCTCACTCTCCCCAAATCACTCAGGATGATGCTAGCTGTTAGATGTTAGCTGATGTAAGAGCGCTGGCAGTTAGCGTTCTCCCCCAAGTGTGTTGGGCTGTTGAATGTTGCTACGTTAGTGGCAGCTTGAAAAGACAAGGTGACCAGCATCAAATGTCTCGGACGACGCACATGCTATGGGGAATGATGGGGAAGACCTAGCTAGTGAGTGGGATGGGGGGAGGACAAAAAAATAATGATAAAAAAGACTGTTATAAGCCACAAGTAATAAGCATCCATTGGGCTGTGCTCAGATGGTGGAGCATATTCCATAAAAAAATCCAGGTCTGAACCGCGAGAAGCTGCTGAACAGCCGTGGGTGTTCTCCAGTTCAATTTTACCCCCCGCCAACTTTTTTGATTGGTTATCTTGTGAAAAGTAAAACATGATGAGCTGATCTATTTCACTGTAGTTTTCCAATTTTCCTACTCAATCTGAGAGGATCCGTGGCAGAAAAATCTGTGTTCCACAATGGAAAAAAACAGAATCCTCATCCTGCCGTAGAATATAATGCCGTTTTGGGCATAATACGCTCCGAACACAGCCTTAGACTGTGCAGTATGTCAGCCAATGCAAAGCAAAAATTTCAGATACCAGAGAGGTCTTGGCTGTAGGACTACATCTAGGATAAGGGGAAAACTGTGTAAATCTGATGTTTCGCCAAAGTAGCACTTTAAAGAGGGTAACAATAAACGGGTAAACCCACGGGACTGATGGCCCCCTCAAGAATGATCGGGCCTGGGGCACATCATTAAGCCACAGCATCACAAGTGAAAACACACAAAATGCCAAAACCAATCCTAAACAAAAGCACGCAAATGACCTTACTGGCAAATCCCAAGACGGTCTCAGTAATTATTATAGCCATTCTGTAACTATGATTAGAAGAGTACGTAATTCTAAAAGTCATCTCGGGGTCCACTGTGTGCTTTCTAGCATTACCTATAAAGGCTGAAAACGGAGCAGCCACATCTTTCAGAGCCAAAAAATAGGGACTCCTACCGAACAAGGAGAGAAAATCAGAGCTATGAGTCATTTGTAAAGCCGTCGGGCATATCAGCAAAATAGTGATCTCTGGCTTTTTTCTCTTGTTTTTTACATAACGGAGTAATCAGTGCTTGCGCTGATAGGGGAGGCTAAAGGCACTTTAAAAACCTTTCAACATCTCAAGAAGAACTAAACAAAGGAGCTACGAGTTTGACAGCAGATTAATTCATGGACATACTTGTCTGAGTGCTCACTGCATACTTAAGATCAGCGGCTCACAATGACTAATTGCAAGCACTTTCAATCTCCGCTACACAAGAGGCAAAAAATCTCATCTAAATACACTGTAGG